TGTGCGCGCGCACTGCTGACGCTTGCCTATATCCCCCACCAATTACCGTTCGCCTCGCCTGATCACACTTTTCGTAACGTGTTCGTCAGCTTACTCCCCAAGCCAAGCGCGCGTAAAGAAGTTTCACTTCAAAAAATGTGTTCCAATTTAACATGACCAAAAACAAAGTCCGTAAAAGAAAATACTGCAAACATTATATTGAAATTTGTATAACTTTTACATAAACCTTGCATAATGTTATATTTAGAAATATTTTTTAGTAAGGAAAATATATTGAATGGGGTCCAGAGTCAGAGTATTTAATATTGTTTTGCTTGAATAGGTGTTTGTATTAGATGCACCAAAATGAGAGGATATACGAAACCTATCAAGGACTTTTTCTGGCGAACTTGATGTTGTTGGGATGTCTAGCACCTATTGGAAACTGCTAAGTATAGTTCACTTATATTGTCTAAGGCTATATACGAACGGAATTGTTTCGATATAAGACGGTTTTCACATTACAAACAAAATCAAAGCAACGATACTCATCGCAGTGCAAATTTAATTTTATAGTTGGGATGTTTTACCTATGTGATATTCTATCTCTAACTCATTCACTCAGCGTAATTCTTCAGGAAGAATCGATCGATCTGGCATAGAAATTAAATATAAAAGCTACGCTGCTTGTAACTTTTCGAAATCGAAAACAAAAAGATGATAATTTTCGATCCATTCAGGCACACTTAAAAAAGTGTGGTAGATCTGAAAGTTGACGAAGAAAACCAAGAATCCGCTCCCGAGACACAAAACGCGAAAATTTCTGCAAATAAAGCTATAGGATCTCAGTGGACATTTTTCTGTTGGATACAATCGGGCAATATTTGAAAACGCGCGTTTCTGGAGAAGTATTTGGTATTATTTGCACTGAGTTTGATGCTTCCAGAAAAATTATCTGATTTGAAAACCAAAAAAATGGACAGCCTTATTGAAGCTAGATAGGTTTAAAGGCCTTTTGGATAATGACAACGTCGTACGACAGCTGAAGTTTAAAGGTGAACTGGATCACTGGCACTTCCTAAGGCGAATGCGAGCTCTGAAAGCTCTTTTTCAAAACTTCGATATATAACGTGGCTGAGGACGAACATGCCTGGAGTTGCTGCACTCCCATCATGACGTTGAAGTCCCTGCAGAAGAAGTTCTCGAAAGATTCTCAAAACTTTGCCTACATCTTTATGTTTTGTTTTTCTATTTAATACCGGAACTGACTGTAGTATTAAACATTGCAATAAATTATGTCACCCGCACGTCTACGATTTATACGGTGTTTTTTTTTTCAATTAGCAGGATTTGATATTAGAGGGTCGATTTGAAAATCTCGGAATCCGACCCACCGATTTTGACAAAATGTTGGGTGTGGATTCGTTTGCAAGCTTATGTCACAGTGCGAAAAGGGACGAAATTGGACAACAATCAAGTCTTCTGCCCATATAACACATTTTAAGTTCCACTTGATTGGTTCACTTCCCATTATATAATTCAAGAAGCAAGGATATAATGGGCCAGGATATATAACTTTGCATTAATAATTTCTTTAGTGTGTGCACCTTTATGACCAAAATTGTTCAAATCAAACAAAAACTGTTCAAGTCCCTAGGTACCGAATATTTGGGTACTAATACCTATAGTTTATCGAAAATATCGGTCAATGTTTGAGATGCTACTGTGATCAAATTGAAAGGTAAATGTTGTCCATTCCATCTCCTTCAAAGTAATCCCGTTCCGCTGCAATACACTCATGCCAACGAATTTTCCAGTCACCATAGCACTTTTAAAAATCCGCCATCGTATGGTCATCAGAGCCTTCTTCGATTCAGCTGTTATATCCTCAATTGAGTCAAAACGGTGTCCTGGGAGTGGTTAAGCTGAATAGCCAAAAGTTACACGAAGGTAAATCAGGCGAATACGATGGTTGCGGCACGATATTAATTGAAAATGTGGCGAAATTATCAAGAATAACTAATGAGAATTTAACCTAGCCACCCAATATTAAGACTTTCGAACACCCGATGGCTGACTTTCCTCATTATTATTGGTTTTACACCATAAGGTATTTCCCTGTCTTGGATTTTTGTAAGTTGCAAGAGTATGTAATGCTCGATTGCACGTGAACTTAGCCCTTTCTTACTTGTTTAAACTACGGGGTTTCCTATATAAAACCTGTAATGAAAAATTAGTACCCAAACTGTAACAATTCACAGCGGTTCTGTACTGAAAAAATTGAGAAATCTATTATTGAAACCAGTTTAATTCAGTTTGTATTATGTATCATTATATATACATCCATACTTATTAAGGTGGACCAAAAATAGTTTTTATTTGTTTTTTTTAGTCACCATGAAAATCGCATCCGACATGACAAAAAACAAGTTCTGGTAAGACCTGAGCTCTTAATATTATCGATGCTATTATCGATATTTTCGATTTCCCATTTAAATAACACAGGAAAATTTTTTTTTTGTCTAGAACATTTTTTGGCTGAGTCAACTCATTCAAAGTTAGTCGTAGTTAAAGTCCAACAGAAAATTATAAAAAATGATATGAACATTTTTCATTTTATATTACAAATTAATAGCTAACCAACATAACAAATCATATTTTTTGATTTATTTAATTTTTATTGAATTAATTTTGTTTAAATGAAACGAGGAGTTTAGAGTTTTTATACTATAAAGCCTTTTATTCAAGTTTTCTTATGGGCTGCTTACAACGAACTGAACTTAGTGGAATAACTGAAAGTATATCATAAACTGTAAAATATATGCATGGAATGGAACAATTCAAGGTTGCAATAAATAGTAATATCTATAATATAAGTTGGTAGTCTAAACTACTTCGTTGCGCCAACACCTCCCCTCGAAGTAGTGAGGCTACTTGTCATGCCTAACGCTGCTGAACATTTGCAATGTTTGACCTTGCTCAAGCTTTTCATTAAGACGTCTGCTGGCATATCTTCGGTGGGCATATATGTTAACGTGATTCTTCCGCTTTGGTGGCATTCTTTGATGAAATGATGGCGCACGTCGATATGTTTTGTACGCGAGCTGTAGCCTAAGCACTGAATTAGTTTTTGAGCGCTTTGGCTGTCGTTGAATAATGTAGTGTTCTCATACGATATGCCGAAATCTTTAAAGATGCCTTGAAGATATATAGATTCTTTCGTCGCTTCTGTAATTGCYATATATTCGGCTTCGGTGCTGGARAGCGCAACGGTGCGTTGTTTACGCGCMTCCCAACTTAMTGCTGCGCCAGCAACTATGAACGCATATCCACTATAGGATCGCCTGTCTAATATATTTGCACCCCAATCTGCATCTACCACACCATATAGGCTATTNCGCAGGTGGTAGCGCTTAGAAACTGAAAATCAGTACACTGGTGATTCACTGGTTCGAAGACCGCCGGGAGCATTTGATTTTTAAAATCTGGAACATTTTCGCCGACGTTAAATAGTTGCGCAAATGCGCAAATGCGCAATCTATCGCAACCTTTTCCGAACTCGTATAAGAAGTATAACTTCAAAAAAAAATGATTCATCCCGCCTATACAAATTCTCATCAAATAATGTTTTGCCGCAAGATTGGCAGTCCTGTAAAATCTCTTTTACTAATAAACAACAACAACTGGCGGATGTTTACAATTAATAAAAAACATTGAGATCGCAGCACGAGCACCGGGGACAACACTAACTATCTTTTTCGAGTTGTGTGAAAACGATGAATTTGCAAGAACATTGCTATATTCCGAAATACCACAATATTTCATTTGGAATCCATCATCGAAAACATTTCAACGACGAAAGCAAGGGGAGCGTGTTGACGGTTATCAAAATGTCCGTAAAACCGATGCCATAGGACGCATTTACACCATCCATCCGAACAACGCCGAATGTTTCTATTTGCGTCTGCTATTAGTCAACGTGCGCGGACCAAGATCATTTGATGATTTGAAAGCTGTTGACGGTCAGTTGTATGTGACGTATCGTGAAGCATGTCAGCGATTACATTTGTTAGAGGATGATATGCATAGGGACACCCCACTTCATGACGTATCACTCACATCTCATCCAAAACAAATACGCGTACTATTCGCCATAATAATATCTACATGCCTTCCGTCAAATCCGCAAGAACTGTGGAATAAATACAAAGACTACATGACCGAGAACTTATTAATTATGGCGCGTAATCGAGCATCGGACGCAGACTTGCTATATACATTACAAATGTATAATGATGATTTGTTATTGGTCGAAGATCTGTGCCTTACAATTGCGAATAAGGAATTACTTGACGCAACTTGGCATAACTGCGCCTAATCGTTCAGCGATTGATATGCTTCACCATGAGCTTCAACTTGAATAACAATACAATTGCAATGAACTGCGTGCTTTCATACAAGCTAACATTACCAAATAAAATGCAGAAAAATGCTTATGATAAGATTATACGAGCGGTTGACAATAACGCCGGTGAATTCTACTTTCTGGACGCGCCCGGTGGTACAGGGAAAACGTTTCTGATCTCTTTCTTGCTACTATACGGTCACAGCAGAAAATCGCGCTGGCAATTGCTTCGTCAAGCATCGCTGCTACTCTACTTGATGGCGGCCGAACAGCACATTTTGTGTTGAAATTACCGTTGAACATCCAAGTCGTTGAAACACCAACGTGTAACATATCGAGGAATTCAGCAATGGCAAAAGTTTTGCGAGGAGCTGGAATAGTTCTATGGGATGAGGGCCCAATGGCTAACAAAAAGTCATTAGAAGCATTCAATAGAACAATGCAAGATTTACGCCAAAAGCAACAACTTTTTGGCAGAGCATTAGTCTTATTATCCGGCGATTTTCGGCAAACTTTGCCAGTCATTCCTCGATCAAGTCCTGCCGACGAAATAAACGCATGTTTAAAATCGTCAGTTTTGTAGAGACATGTTCAAAGGCTGAGTCTTACCATCAACATGCGAGTCCAATTGCAAAATGATCGATCCGCAGCGGCGTTTTCGAAGCAGTTGTTGGACATTGGCGAAGGCAAAATACCAATCGATGATACCGGTTTGATCACATTGCCGAACAACTTTTGTACACTTTTACAATCGAAAGAAAAATTTATTGAAAGTGTATTTCCGAATATTGTTCAACACTATCAACGCCACGATTATTTAAATGAACGCGCAATATTGGCACCGAAAAATGTACATGTCAACGAAATCAATTTTGCCATTCAAGAAAAACTGCCAGGAGAAACTATAACATATACATCGATCGATAGCGTTTTGAATCAAGATGAAGTAGTCAATTATCCACCTGAATTCTTGAATTCTTCCCCCGGTCTGTCACCGCATCGTTTGGTCCTGAAAGTCGGTTCACTCATTATACTTCTACGAAATCTGAAACCACCAACTTTGAGTAATGGCACAAGACTTTCAGTCAAAAAATTGTGGCCAAATTTTATTCCCATGATTCCAATGGACATGCTGCTTGAATTTAAGTTGCTTGCAGTTCCCAGTACGTCTTGCCTTTGCAATGATCATCAACAAATCTCAAGGGCAAACGTTTCAAGTGTGCGGCGTCAATTTGGAAGAACCGTGCTTCTCCCACGGCCAATTGTTCGTCGCATGCTCGAGAGTGGGAACACCAAGGTGCTTATTAATTTACGCGCCAGGTGGAAAAACCAAAAATGTTGAATACCAATATGTTTTATAAATGTTTCATAAATAAGTAACAGTTTTACAACAATAAATAAAACACAAAGTAAAAACCCTTAAGAGTTTTAATCGATTTAGGTGTAGCGAAGCGCACAGGGTAACAGCTAGTTATGTATATAATATAATGTTGTCCGTCCTTTGGTAGTAACGAACATGTTCAATTTTGAATAGCAGGATACAGGAGTTAATATAAACGACAATTTTATAATTTAATATCATATATAGAAGAAAAAAATTAAATCAATTTTGAGAGTCGACAATGAGCCACGTTGCACCTTTCTTTTCTGAAGTGAACATCAGAAGATTCGATTCTTCAATTTCTGGGCAACATGCAAACACGGGGTTTCCAGGCTATTTTTCTTTTAAATTTTAAACAGAATGCATCAAAACAACCTTGAGTTTGAATAACACAACAACCTTATCTTAATACAAAGCAAATGTATCTAAGCAAACACGGACTTTGAAAAAGTAGTTTTGAGAAAAACGAGTTTAAAGTTTATCGACTAAAAAAGTGGCGAAAAAATTGCTCCATATTGTTCAAAATTGTGCTCAAAAATGTACAAAACTTATTATATATGTAAACATAACTAAAAAAAATAATATAATCTGTATTTAAAAAAACCATCAACCAGTAATAAGTAAACATACTAGTTAGTATAAAAGGAAGTAAGAACCTTATTACATGGTCTTAAGGGTATTAATAAAGAGTAAACTTTTCGGTGCAGCTCAAAAATATATTCTTTTGATATTAAATTTGATTTCGTTGTAATATTAAGTACAAGTAAATGCACAGCTTGCTCGGGTCTTATTGGTCAGTGATGGTGCGTCTGTGCTTTTCTTGTCGTTTACGCGAATTTTTGATTTTTCTTTCAAATCAGCATATGTCTAACTATTATAGTTTGGCCATAATAAGTTTTTATCATTTTAAAAAATTTATATGAATGCCACGCTATGAACGCTTTTTTATTTAGACTTTGAAATTTATCCTTATAAAAAAAAATGACTTCATATAATATTTAAGTGTGTTTCAATACCAATTACATAACTTTTTGAATTGTTCAATTTTGACATTCCATTCAAAAAATATCAGAAGATTAAAATTGTAAGTTATTTAGAAAATGTCGCATGGTCGCCGCTCAACCTGCTAGAATAGGCAGAACCATAACAGGTCAATTCGACAAGCAAAAGTTTATAGCATACGAACTGTTAAACCGATTGCTATGGCAGTTGGGAAATTCTTTATGTAGGCCTAGCTATCTTGATATTTCATTATCAAAATGACGCCGAGAAGAACAGTTTAAAGATTTGAAGAGCATGAAAAATGTTATTATAATTTATTCAAAGTACTACTGCATTTTTAATAATATATGTACAAGGTACGTTCCAAAGTAAACAGATCAGAACAGGAAAAAAACAGAACAAATGGGGTTTTCGGCAAAATCAATTTATTTTATTTAAAATAGTCTCCTTCTGCTTCAATACAGCTTTTCGCACAGTCCAAAAGCATGTCGAACATTTGTTTTATGGCCACCAGTATGTCGGTGCAAGCCTTTTGAATGACCTCTACGAGTATGTCTGCAAAACGCTTTCCTGCATGGGCAAATGCACTTTTCCGAAAAGGAAGAAGTCGCACGGTGCCATAACAGGTGAATACGGGGAGTGGTTAATGGTTAAAATGTGATTTTTGGTCAAATAATCATTCACAAGCGTCGAATCGAATGTTGGATTCTGAACAATTTTTGGTCATCTGACAACTTGTACGGAACAAACCGTGTTCACTCAGAAGCCGATAAAATAATGCTTTATAAATATTAAATTCCATTTATATGAATTTCAATGATGATTTCGGCTGATTTTTGATGAATTCTCGCACAGTTTCGATGAAATTTCCGGTGATCACGGATTTTGATTGGCCCACATGTTGATCGTCATTATGACTTTGAAAACGTTGAAATCACTCGTGCACTCTGCCACGGGATAGGCAATCATCGCCATACACTTTTTTCATCAATTGAAAGATTTCGGTAAAAGTTTTACCAATTTTAAAACAAAATTTTATGTTGGTTCTTTCGCATCGATAACACAAACATACTGATACTTATAACGCAATAACTTCACTTTCGATCCACTACGCGGCAGTCGTGTGCGGAATGAAATAAATTTTGCTAGAATATATTGTCTATACTAAATGTACAGTACTTTTCGATGTACAGTACCTCCCGGTTAAAACATTTAACCGCTTATAAGGAAATAAAATTAGGTCACAAAAAATTCTACATAAGCAGTATACAGAAAATCCCCGGTTAATGTGTTCCCGTTTAAAAGGTCTCCCGCTTACAATACTGAAAATGTGCGAGCCATTTAAAGAAATCCAAACAAAAATCCCCGGAAATAAGGAAGAAAAATCTGGGCACAGTTATTTGATTTTTTTGCGGTATGGCAATTTGTAAAAACATATCTTTGTTGATTAATGGCGGAAAATGTGAAACTTTGGCAAAAGTGTAAGTGAAATAAAGTTTATGTTTGCAAAATTTATTAGCGCTTATTTTTTTTCAGGATGGCTGGTAGCAAACGAAGGACGTTTTTCATAAAGGAGAATCTTAAAGTTATCGCTGAAAGTAAAATCATATCAAATCCTCAATTGTGTTCCAAATATGGGTGCTCCTCAACACTAAACAGAATTTTATGAAACGCAGGCGAAATTTCTAACAACTCGTCCACGCGCAAATTGTCTGCAAAAAGAATGAGACAAGGTAAAGACGCCCAGGTGGAGCAGGCGTTAATGATATGGAATATTCAACTGATGGAGCAGTTATCTCTTCAAACTTATTGCTGGAAAAGGCCAAGCAGCTTGCAGTGAAGCTAAAAAAAGAGTTTACGCTATGGCGGTTACAGAAGCGCAATGGCATTCAGCTAAGAAATGTTCACGGCGAAAAACGCTCCACTGATACGGAAAATGCAAAGATATTTCTGAGCACAACTCTTCCACATATTATGGCGAACTATGATAGGGCAAATATTTTCAATGCAGAAGAAAGTGCCTTGTTCTTTAAAGCATTGCCGCAAAAAACGCTTACACATAAGGCATAAACAGTGCAAGGGTCTTGAACTCTAAGCACCGGCTAACGCTCTTTTTTATTTGCAATGCCACAGCAGATTTCAAGGAAATCATTGTCATTGGAAAGTCAAAGAGTCCGCGATGCTTAAAAAAGTTCTGCCCTTAAAGTATTACTCTAACAAGAAAGCGTGCATGACGCAAGAGGTTTGAGGTAAAGTTTTAAATAAGTTGGATACACAAATGAGAGGACTGAATCGAAAAATCATTCAGCTGGTTGACGATGTGGCTTGTCATAAGATTTCTGACACTTTGACAAACATTAATCTTCAGCTTTTGCCGCCACATACAACTGCAATAACTCAGTATCTGAGTCAAGGAATTATCCACTGTTTTTAGGCATAATATAGGCAAAGTATTATTCGGAAACAAGTTTCTGCAATTGGACGCGGACAAACAGTGGCTGAATTTGAAAAGCATTTTAAGTGATTTATATGATTAAACATAGCTTTTGGATGGTGAGACCTATATTAATTCAAAACTGTTTCAAAAAGGTAAGTTCGTTAAAATTTCACAATGTTTGCTTATTATTCATTCATGTTTTATTCATTCGGGTTCTTTTTTAGGCAAAATTCATAACTACACCCAGCAATTTAAAGATATAAATGCTGAAGTAGAAAAAAATCGTTGAGAGCCTGGCCGATGCAAATACACAAAGCTCATTTGAAACATATATTGTATGTGATGGCGACATTGCGTGCTATGACAATTAGACAGATGAGGAATTTGTCAGTTCCATTGTTGATGCAGAAGCAGATYCACTGCGAATTGATAACGATGGGTCTGAAGATCAAGATGAGACTGAGGAAGTGCTAAAAACACCATCACTTGCAGAAGTTCTGTACTGCATTCACAGCCTCAGACCCCAATTTCCGCCAAAAAATAAATGCATTGCTGAATTAGACAGCACGGAAGGAGACATTCTCCATAATGAGATGTCTTTCCAATCTAACATAACAATTTTTTTTTTTTAAATACAATTTTTTAAGACTTCGTTTTGTGCGAAATTTTTTTAAGCATGGCCGACAAAGATCTCATTTGTTCCTTACATTTTTATGTTTTTCTGTCCACTATGTAGTGAAGAATATAAATACAAAAGTACTTTTAAAAAGTATTTAATAAATATTTACATACTCGTAGCTTAAAAAAGTAGTTGTTTCATATGTGCACTTTTACATAAGCTTCAAATTACATTTCACATAAAGCGGGATTTTCATATAAAATGTTCCAATATAAATGTTAATTCCAATCCTGCGCATTTCGCTCGGCTCTTATGCCAGAAAAATACTGTAGGTATACATATATACTTGAAATTCGTATAGCAGGTAATTCAACCCAAAATAAAAKTTTTTTTCAAAATAAACAAAGATCTTTTCAGAACTAAGCATCATTTCTTTTTAGAAATTTGTAAAATTAAACAAAGTTCCTTTCACAACTAAACATTAGTCCTTTTTAGCATTTTGTAAATATCTTTTATTAATTTTTCAGTAAATATTATATTGTAACTATTAACTATCCAAACAGCTTTCCGATTTRAGTAGTTATTATAATTTTTCAATTACATTTTTATAGATTTTAATTTAAGCGTGTGCAGCGGTTTGAAGAACAAAATATTAGAAATATACAAGCTCTCACTAGAGTGTCGAGCTCTGAGCGTTTCCAAAGCCTTCATAATCAGAGAGAAATACAACGGACAACAACGACTAGAGGTCGTATCAAATTTTAGCTAATAGTATAATAACACATCAGCTTTTAGATAAGATCCTCAGATTGATTATGCTCAACTGCTTTCCGTATAATTCGGAGCCATGGATAGATCTGSTCAAAGTGTTTTACCAAAGAATTGGCTGATGAACCGAATGGTATGTGCTGTACTACTAGAAATGTCAGCACATTTCGTACATTTTTTAAACAACATACGTCGGTACAAAATAACTTTTTTCAAATGACCTCGGAGTGAAATAAATAAGGGAAGATAATTTTATGCCTAATTTTAAAACAGAAGAATAAGTGTATCATCTAATAGGTGGCCTTCTACCATCCGCAGGCCAAAGTCCACAATTCGTGCAAATCAATTTCATTTCAGATACAGATTAGCTATCGTTACGTTGAAACATAGCTCCARTGCTAAAAATTGATTTAATAACGAACTACAAACCACTTAAAAAGCAGCAAYATAATCATTAGATGTTTTAACAAAACTTAGATCGTTATTCTCCAGATAATTTAATCACARCAAACAGTCAATAGAGTAAATTTGATGTAAGCGTTTACAGACCCAAAGAGACCCAAAAAGAAAATGGGGCGTTGTGTAGAGGTCTGGGGGTTATTTGTAATTTTATTTTGCTTGAAGGGTTCTTCGACAATGACTGCATGAGCTCTCGACTCTCAACAACAACTTGTGAACATCAACTAATATGAATTAAGAGATTGTTCGAACTCGGTTCTATATATCTCTCCGCGTGTAGTTTATACATATATCTGTCCCAATTTATTGAATATAGAAAAAATGAAAATCATGTCAATCGGTCGCTCCGTCGTTTCATAATGAAAGTATACAAAAACAACAAATAAAAAGAGAACAAACAAAAAAAAAATTAAATAAATAAATAATAAAAACAAATAAAATAAGCAACAGACACATTTTCGCTGGCTGGTTCATTGAATACTTGTTCATACTTGTTGTGTACGATTGAGCGTTGAATGAGGTAACGAGTGCATGTTTGTTTTATTCCTGTCGGTGCGTGCTGCTTAAGCATTTCTATATAAACAATGTAAAATTTATTTTATTTTCATTTGCGCTTTTGYGCACAATAGATGAGCAGTCCTTACGCCTCCTTTACACTACTCGCGGAGTTAAACGTATTTCTCAAAGCAAAACAATGTCGGAATTAACAAAGAAGAGGCGCCAATACTGTGCGGAATATATTAAATTCGGATTCATTGAAAATTCCACACCCACCCGTCGCCTTTGCGTCTTCTATGTCTAAAAACATTTTCGAATGAAGCAATGTAGCCTTCAAGACTGCAAGATCATTTGAATAAAATGCATCCAGATAAGAAAGACAAAAATGTAGCATATTTTCAAGACCTGGAGAAGAAGCATAATACTCAGCCAAGTGTAGCAAAACTATTTTCGGCGGCTGCTAAGCCAATATCTCTTTGTTAATTGCTCAAAAAGGCAACCCACATAACATCGGAAAAGAGTTCATATTGCCAGCAATAAATGAAGTAATAACTAGTGTGCTTCATAAACCGGCCGCAGATATTATCCGAAAATTTAATTCTCAGTTCAGCTCGATGAGTCCACTTCACCAACTAATGAAGCATTGTTGTTGTCTTACGTGAGGTTTATTAAAGATGAGAAAATATGTGAAGAACTATTATTTTCTAGAAATTTAGAGACCGATACAAAAGGCGAAACTATATTCAATATATTGGAAAAGTTTTGCGATGAGAAAGAGATTCCTTTGAAAAATACTATTTCAGTTGCTACGGATGGCGCTCCGGCTATGACAGGGTGCMATAAAGGCTTCATAGCATACTCTAAAGATATAATTCCATATGCCCTTGGTGTACATTGCGTTATTCATAGACAACATTYAGTTGCTAGAAACTTAAATGAAAAACTATTTCAATCACTGCAATATGTCATCAAAGCAGACAATAAAATCCGCAACAGCTCTTTGAATGATAGATTATTTCATCAGCTTTGGGTTACTAATGACGGTGATTTCAACCGTTTGTGGTTTCATACTGAAGTTCGTTGGCTATCAAGAGGTAATTGTCTGACTCGATTTTACAACTTGTTTGATTCTGTTTTAGAGTTCTTGGAAACTAAAGATACAGAATTGCAAGATAACATCATAACATCAAAGAATGATATAGTTTACATGACAGACCTGTATAAATTGTTCAACAACATGAATCTCCAACTACAAGGTGATAACCTAAATGTAATTAAAACAGAAAACGTCGTTGTTGCTTTCGCAGGCAAACTGCTTCTACACAGAGAGAATCTGGGCAGACGTGAGCTTCACAATTTTCCGAATTTATCAGTATCATGCAGTAATGACGAATTGTTTGCCTACTGCCAACATTTGGAAAACCTCCATATTGACTTCACCGAACGATACCAGRACATTTTGAACTTGGAAATACCAGACTGATTGTTGGATCCGTTTTCAAATGTTAACACACCAATGTCACCTCAGTTGGAAGAAGCACTTATAGCATTGACAATAAATGAGG